AAAATGAATTACCTACTAAAACAGAAAAGTGCACTTTACTTTAGGCTAAGTGAATTCACCAGAAAAGATTTTCTTTGACAAAAAAAGTATCAGCTTTTTAGATGCTGGAAGAAATCATGTGATGGCAAAAACATGAGAATAGTTGTTGCTGAAGAGAATAGAAGTGAGTATATGGAATTAGAGAGTATAGCTGCTCGTAGATAAATAGATACAGACACTGCCAGAACAATTAGCATTTAAAGAACCACTTATTCCGTCACGTTACATGATTACGAAAGTGATTTTTTGAGACATAATATGACCTGGAAAAGTAGCACATGCTAAGAGTTTACTTGTAGCTCAAAATTGATACACAGAAAAAAAAAATCCCAAAAGCGAAATGACATTTCATTCACATGTTAAAGAAAGTCTCCATATGCATAAGACCGTAGAAACTCAAATATGGGATGCAGGTAAAGAGCAACTGCATCTATATAGAGAAAACTGGTTTTAACAAGATACCTTTAATCTTTTCTAGAGCACATACTTGGACTACTGCGTATATAAGACCTTGTAAAATACCTGATTTACTTCTCAAAGCCTCTTGCATTGCTTCAAGATCATCATGAGGAAAGGAAGTATCATGTTCGATTGGATTAAAATTAGGTTGCCTAATGATCTTATTACTTGCTGGTACATTCATATCAGAAGATACAACACTATACCCTTTACTTTTTCCAATCGAAGTTCTTTGTACAAAAATACTTCCTCTGGCAGAACCCACAGATGTAATGTTCTTTCTGTTTTCCTTGCCTATAATAAGAACATTACAAAATCTCAAACTCAAATAAATAAAATAAATCTGTATGTTTAGAAAATAAAATACCTGGTATGCTTCTCATGTTCTCTTGCATTACTTCATAATCGTCATGAGGAAAGGAAGTTTCAACTTCGATTGCATCAAAATCAGGACAAACGACATTAGTCTTTTGTGGAATGACATTCTGATCATATATGGCAGAATTTAGACCTTTGTTGTTTTCAATCATTATTCTCTTTTCGATGCCTTCTCTTACAGAGCTCAGAGATGTAAATCTGTTTCCTCGTCCCATTACTTCAAGATCATCACGAGGAAAGAAACTATCAACCTCTATTGGATCAAAACCAGGTTGCATAAGGTTCTTATTCTGTGCTAGTTCATTTTTATCAGAAGATGGAACACAATAATTTTTTCCAATAGAAGTTCTCTGTACAACATTACTTCCTTTAACAGAGCACGCAGATATAATGTTCTGTCCATTCTCCTTTGCTACAATTCAAACATTATACAACCTTAATCGTCTAACAATAATAAATTTTTCATACTAAGAAAATGAAATAAGATTAGAAACCTGATTTACTTGTCACAGTCTCTTGCATTACTTCGAGATCATCATTAGGAAATGAAGTTTCATCTTCCAGTGCATCAAAACCAGGAGGGACGACATTAATCTTCTGCGCAACGACATTTTGAGTATATGTTGCAGAATTTAAACCTTTGTTGTTTCCAACCATTGTTCTCTTTTCGACGCTTCCTCTTACAGTACTTTCTTTAACAAAGCCCCCAGATGTAGAGTTATGTCTGATTTCCTTTTCTGCAATTCAAACAAGTTAATCATTATAATCAATAACCTGATTTCTTCTCTGAGGCTTCTCCATACATGATTTTCTAAAATTAATCAACTTGAAAAAACATAAATTTAGACCTATTCAAAATTACTATGGAAGTGCACTTTCCTAAAGTTAAAACTGGAATCAACTTAAACAAAACATCCTTCAAAACTATTCTAGATCAGAGAGCAGGGACAAAATGGAAATCCACATTACTATTTGGAAATGACAGTATCTGTTTACGCAAGAAAACTCAATGTACAGACATCTGTAGCTTGAGAAAATAAGACATAATCGCCTAACAATATATATCTATAGCTTGAGAAAATAAAATACAATACCTAATTTGGTTCTCATAGTTTCTAGCGTTATGTCTGTTTGATCAATCAAGCTTCTCTTTTCAGCAGTTACTCTTACAGAGCCCATCGATTTGAGGCTTTGGCCTCGTCCCCTCGCTAAAGCACCAGGTGGAAGGAATGATTGCTTAAAATTCTTTGAACTTGATCCCATTTCAGACTTCTTAAATTTTGAAGGATTCATGTCATCCTACCATAAAATCCAACAGTAGAGTACTATTAGAAAAGTATCTTTTAGGATGCATATTAACATAGAACAAATACAAAAATAGTTAGGATAAACAAAAAAAAGCTAAATTCTACGACACATTTTCTCTATTCATTATGTACAAAGTAATAAGAAGATATTATTATTGGATCAACCTTTATTCTCTCTAAGTACTTCAACTGATCAAAGTTACGTAAAAAAGATTTAGAATATGTACATGTAATTGAAAAACTATAAGTATCAACTATTCCAAACCTGGATGAGTTTTTTTTCTTTTCCTATCAATTGAATAATGTAAATCCTCGAAATCATTATCATTCTTTTGCATATCATCAAAAGTATCACGAGGCAGAAACTTTCGCACCACATTCCAGCCTTTATTAGAATGATCTCTAGCATAAAATACTTGTGATGCTTGATTGGCTAACACAAAAGGCTCATCGGTTTTCAAAAATCGTTGGGGGTTAACACTTACAAAGTCATATTTATCCATTTTAACTCCCCTTTCATTGTCATATACATCAAACCACATACATCTAAACAAAACCAGCCTTCTCCCGCCAATAAATTGTAGTTCAAGAATATCTGTCAGATCGCCATAGTAATCAATGATTTTACCTTCTTCATCAGTCTCACCAGCAACAACTATCCCACAGTTTTGTGTCCTCAAACCTTTATCGTAATCTTGTACATGAAATCTATATCCATTAATAATGTAGCCTTTGAATCTTGTCACATATTTCATTGGACCACGTGATAATGTGAGTAAATCTGCCATTTTCTTACTTTCGTCATGTTTGCTTAATCCTTCAATCTATCATGATTAAGAACATAGTTTAGAAAATATTATCTATATGATTTGAAAATAAAAGTTTTTAAACAGTATTCACCTTTCCTTTAAACCAACTGATGAATTGCCTATCAGAATTTTTTTCAGAGGAATCGCCTGGAATTTGAGAAAACTCTCTATAGAAGAGGAAGCATAATAAGAAATAAGGAATTAATAATAATTCTGAAGAAGTGATAAGATGATTATTTTCAAAATTCATTACTTACTCGAGAAATGGTTGAACTTCATCACAATTCTTCAAAATATAAATATGTGCTTGCTCTAATTCTTTTAAATTAAGTAGTTGTGTCTTGCCACCTTTTAAAGCTCTTCCAGGTTGACAGAAAATCATTAAACCTCCATCAGATTCTAGAGCACCCCCATCATAGTTTCGTTCAAGGAGATTAAATTTTGTTTCCATTGTATGCAAATACCTTGAACATAAGGTTGTAAATTCATTAGCTATATATCCCTCTGCAATAGATCCTTCAACGCAAGATCTATTACGAATAAAAAGCTTCAAAAAATATAACCATCGCTCCACTGGATACATTGATCGGTATTGAACAGGTCCACCAATCATAGCCTCATTAGCTAAATGAATTGGCAAGTGCTCCATGACATCAAAAAATGCAGGAATGAAAACCTTTTCTAACTTGCATAGAGTTTCAGGAATTTGTGCTTCTATTTGTTCCAACTCCTCAAGTTTTAAGCACTTTGCTCCAAGAAGATTGAAAAACAATGACAACTCAATTAGCGGCTCACGCACTTCAATGCATAGCATACTACGTATGGCAAGTGGGATTAAATGTTGAAGAAGAACATGACAATCATGACTTTTTAATCCTGAGATTTTGTGATCTTTCATATTGATACAGTGAGAAATATTTGATGAAAATCCATCCGGAACCTTTAAATCCTTCAAAAAACTTAAAAACTTGTGCTTCTCTTCAGGAGATAATGTGAAACATGCTGTCGGTAAGTCATATTTTTCTCCATTTCTTTTTGGATGTAATTCTTTCATGATCTTCAATTCTTGCAAATCCAAACGACTACTCAAGGTGTCTTTTGTTTTTCCTTTGATATTTAAGATTGTTCCCAAAATATTATCACATATATTCTTCTCAATGTGCATCACATCTAAATTATGCCGCAACAACAGAGTTTTCCAATATGGAAGGTCAAAAAATATACTCTTCTTATTCCAATTATCACCTCTACTATCATGTGATACTTTAATCTTCTTCTTTTGATCATTTGTTAGAGGTAACCCATCTAAATCAGCCACTTGATCAAGTGTGTCCTCACCAGATAATGTATTTGGAGGTAATCCCCACTCTGCAGTACCATCAAATGACTTCTTATCGTTCCTCCATTTGTGATTAAGGGGAAGAAAGCGTCTATGACCCATAAAACACTGTTTTTTACCATTTGTCAATCTTTTTGAGAAAGTTTCTCTATTACAACATGGGCAAGCCAATTTTCCTTTTGTACTCCAACCAGATAAATTTCCATACGCTGAAAAGTCATTAATGGTCCATAATAAAGCAGCATGCAACGTGAAATTCCGTTTAATGGACGCATCAAAGGTACAAACTCCAGTTTCCCATAATTCTTTTAATTCATCAATCAAAGGTTGGAGATAAACATCAATTGCATCTCCGGGACTTCCAGGACCGGGAATAAGCATTGACAAAATAAAATTTTCCTGCTTCATGCATAACCATGGTGGTAAGTTATAAGGAATAAGTACCACAGGCCAAATACTATACGGAGTTCTAGAACAGCCAAATGGTTGAAAACCATCACTAGCAAGTCCAAGTCTAACATTACGAGGCTCCATAGCAAATGATTGATGCAGTTCATCAAACTTTTTCCATGCTTTTGAATCGACCGGGTGCCTCATAATTCCATCATTAGCTTTGTTTTCATGATGTCATCTCATTAAAGGAGATGTTTTTGAGGACATAAACAATCTTTAAAGTCTTGTCTTTAAAGGAAAATAGCGTAAGATCTTGTATGGTATCTTTTTCCCCTTTTTAATTTTAGATTCCCCATTATGTTTATCCTCCTTCCATCTAGATGCGCCACAAATTTTGCAAGAATCAACAAACTTGTCATTCTTCCAATATAGCATGCAATCATTCCTACATGCATCGATCCGATCATATGAAAGCCCTAGGCTTTTAATTAGCTTCCTTGCTTCGTAATATGAATCTGGCAAGTTTGATTTATCAGGCAACAAATCTTTCTTTAACATCTTCAATAACATATTAAATGAGTTATTACTCCAACGACCAATACTTTTAATATGAAGCAATTTCACCAACGTAGAAAGTTTTGAAAGTTTTGAACCTTCGTACAGGGGTTGATCAAAATCCTTTAAAAGACTATAAAATCTTTTTGCTTCAGGATTTGGTTCCTCCTCGAGAACATCATCATCGCCAATATTCATATTATCTACATTATAAAAAGGATGTAAATCTATGAGAATGTCATGTATTTCATCCTCCTCATGATCCTCGCCAATTTTATCATCGTCATTTACAGATTCAGAATCTGGTTCTTCTGTCTCACCTATCGTCTCTCCATGGTGATACCAAAAGGTATAATTTTGAATTATTCCATGTACTATTAAATGTGATCTAACAATCTCTCGTGTTCGAGACACTGCATTACAACATTTGACACATGGGCATCTTATTTCATTCGCTTCCCTCAATCTTGTAAAAGTATAATTCAGAAAGATTTCCACCCCATGTATATAAGCATCATCAAGTCTATTATGAATAAGTTGCATCCATTTCTTATCAGGTGCCATAATATTATCTAGAAAATAAAATATGGATCAAAAGTATTTCAATACAAAAATTAAAAAACGAGCAACAACTAAAAATATATTCAAAGGCCAAGAACTAATACATTAATCAAACAAGATGGAGAGGGGGTTGACAAACCTACAAAATAGTGGCATCTCATGCACGCTAAGATACTCGAATAATATAATCACTTTTTGGAGTATTTGACTAATGAATAAAGATTCTAAAGCAGATACAGAATGGTAAAGGCTGAGGTGTTTTGTATCAAAGATGAAATTAAAAAAAAGGCTGATTTTGCAACATCAATTTATGCACTTTGGATAGAGAGAGGAATACGAGAATATTTCAGAACAAAGCATCTACCAAAGAGATATCACTCCATCAGATGAAGTTCTCAATATGTACAAAAGAGATACACAGCCATCGATTATTAAGTTTCATTTGTTCCCTATGAAAATACTGTATTAGCTGAACGTAGGTAGAATGTTTATCATCAAATTTTTGAATTTGTTCAAAATTTTGAATCTGTTTTCAAGTAGAGTAGGCTACTGAGAAGGGACATAATTTTGTAGTTTGCCCTCATATTGTAAAGCTCACTGGAAATGAACAAAAAATTGCTTTAATTGTCAAAAAAAATTGGTGAAGGAGTAGAGAAAATATAGCCAACAAGAAGCAACTTTCCACTTATACCACATATGTTCATCTTTTGAGGTCTAACCCATCAATATAGAAGGAAAAGGAAAAACATAAATGGCCTCAAAGAAGCTAATCCACCATTCAGTCTCTTAAATATAATAACATACGAGTCACATAGGCTACTACTTATTCGGCATATCAATAAAAATCATAAGAAAGAACAGATGAATAGAATGAAAAAGAACAATTGATTTAGTTCATACATATTACATAAAGAAACACATATTAGACAACATTGAAATTCCTAACCAAGCTTCTTTGATGGTTAGGAAGATTCTTAACATGAGGAATATTGGGGACAGCAGGAGATCATAGATCAGGTAGTTCAAGAGGGTATATTTCAGATCACTCGAGCTTTTTAAAACTGAGAGGAGATATCAGTAAAGTACCATGAAGAGACCTAAAATATTATATTATGGCTGAACCTAAACAGGTGTTCATACGGTGTCTCACATTACATGAAAAGCTATGAACAATCTACTGCAGTGGGGAATGATATTGGGTCGCACGTGTGTATTCTGCTAATCTATGCCTGAAACTAATGACCATCTACCAATCACTGCTCTGTTTAGCTCAATCTAGATTAATTAGAACATTGTCGATTTATATAAACAATCAGGCATATACGATGAGTAAGAAGTACGACACAAAACAGATTGTTATTATAAAAAAAATTGATAGAATAAGAACATAGACCATCTCCGATCTTTATGATTAATCTGAACGACTTGTTCTAGCTGACTTCTGGGACAATCTTGCAGCAAAAGAATGATCGAAAAAAACAACTCATGACAGAACAAAGACTGATCAGTCCAAGTTAGATGATTTTAAAAGTTGGTGCTGCCGCTAAAAATCAAATCGTCACATCTAGTTTAATTTATAATTTGATCCAGTTTGAGATAAAGAGCAAGCATGAGAAACCATTCCAAAAGCAATCTTAGCAATCCTAATTATAGCTAAAAACCTACCAGCTTCCCGTTTGATCTACAAGACATTATGTGGCTGACTTCTCGAATAGTCTTACCAATCAAAAACAGATTACTTGAAGTTAGATGGATGTAAAATTGATGTTGCTGCTTAAGAAAAAAATCAACACATCAGTTCCTTTTAAAATTAAATTTCACAAACCAAAAGTAAGAATGATCAGACGACATATAGGACACCAAAAACAAATTAAACGTTATAGAATACAAAGAGGTCAAGAGTTTTGGCAGAGAGAAGAGAACAATCACTTACTATTGATTTTGTAGAGGAGGAATTTCTCAGTTGATTTGCAGATTTGATGCTATCGATATCTCTGTTTGAAGGAGAGAAGATGAAGAACTGCTCTTTAGATTCAAAGTTATCTATGTTCTCTCTTATGAACAAAGAAAATTGAAACCCTGCTTTGCGCCGTGGATCTGATGAGAAACGTATAAGTTCAGAAGAGGCCAATTATCTCTAAATAAACTGGAGGGAAAAATTTCAGAAGAGGCGCCCTTTTTCCTAAAGTTATTGGTAAATTTAATTTTTAACCCAAATATAATTTACATACAATAAATGCTAAAATAAAGAAAACACAATATATATATATATATATATTTGGATTAAAAATTAAATTTACAAATAACTTTAAGAAAGAATTAATTAAATTTTTTTAACGACCGGAATAATATTTTATAACGACTAAATATTTATCCCCTCGCTTATAATAAATTAAAAACTACTTCTACCGACCAAAAAAAAAAAAATTCGTTATAAATACACCTTTTACGACCGCATATATGTCCCTACGTTAAGACATGGTCGTTAAAATACACTTTTCTTGTAGTGGGTTCTCAGAACAGTCAATATGGACTAGGTTCTCCAAACAATCAAAGTTTTCCAAGTGAAAATAGGAGAGAAACAATACTGAGTGTGGTAGGAATAAATATAATGTTCTTACGTGTTTTTACAGGTGGGACTACCCGTATCAATCTGTAGATGAACTACCACAAACAACGACTTGAAATCATATTCATACCGAAGCATTGACAAAACAAATTGTTACTAGATTTTTGAAGCAAGCTAGGAGTAACCGTTCCTCCAATCTCTAGCTTGAGGGGAAGTGTTGAAGATAAAGGAAACTAAAGTTATGGAACAAGTTTCACAACCTGGTCCAATCAATATGTACGACATAGTTTAGAGTCAGACTTGGACTAGGCTACTTATATCGACCAGGTTGCTACTTCTTGTAAGTTGAAGTCGACTAGGATTTGATTACGATTAGGATCAAATTATTTATAATTGTAGTATTATTATAGTAGTGATAGTTATTGTAGTAGGATTCTAACTATGATTAGATTATTTATAATTGCATTATTATTAGGATTCTAAGTATAGCTACCATAAGACTCTACAATTCACTCCATATATAAGGAGTATGTACTCGATAATTTTAATCATCAATACAGTCCTTGATTTCTCTAATCCTAGACGTGAGAATTCTACACAAACAAATTCAACACTACAACTAACGTTCAATTTTATTTTTTATTGAATTAAGATTTTGATCAATAAATGTTGTACTTTTTAGACTAGCTTTATAATAATGTATTATGCGATTTATAATTTTTTACTTATTTGATAAGATTGTATAAAGAATTGGGCTAATTTTAATAATATTAAACTTATGGGGCTTTCATGCTTATGAGAAAACATACAAATATAAAAAATTCCAAATTACATGTCCAAACAAAACTTCAACATCATTTCATGATTTCATATCATAGGGCCAAATGGGCCCTTAATAAGACATTTATTATTGATTTTGGTTAATTGATTTTTTTTCGTCCTTAATGTTTCAATTTTGGGCCAACAGATAAGAAAGTGTTTTTATAATTTTTTCTTTCTCTTATTTTCATTTGTTCATATATACACTACCTTCATGCATAAAAGTCTACACAAATTACAACTAAAAGCAAATTCAAAGTCGTTATTACTTATCAAACTTGTTTTCTTTCTAGTTAAGTAGCTAGCTTGAATGCAGTAGCAACTGTAGCAATCTCTCAAACAAAAAACAAGGTCAATTCACCGTTTACACTGTTGGGTAGAACCCCTACCAAGTCAACGATTTTAGAAAGAAAATAGCATCACTAAGACAACAACTATAAAATGCAAAAAATAATAGAGTATGTTTTTAAAATCTAAAGTCATTATTATATAATTAGGGATAAAATATTATTTTAATATAATCTGATTAGATTATCGATTTAATTATTAACTAAAAATCTTGAAATTAGAAACCAAATCAGCCTACTAAATTTTTTTTTATCACTCACTAACTTAAGGATGCAATTGTACTTGGTGCTACACTTGACCATGAGTTGACCCATATTGGACCACTATGCTATCAGCGTAATATCAGTCACAAAATTAAGAAAACAAATAAGTATATTTCGACTTAAAAATAAGCTTTTAGCCTAAAAGGTCCTCGTCAACAAACTTGCAATAGACTCAGTTAACCCCAATAATTTATATATAACAAAATTAAATCATGTATAAGCTATGGAGATCACCATAATATCTAGAAACATATAAACTGAACACACATAAACATCTACAATCAAGACCAATAGGTCGTTGTGCTAAAAGGGAAAAACAAGGTCAACATAGCTTACAACACACATCTATATAACTCAAAAAAATTTAAGCCTTAAAAGTAATATTCTTGACCAGGATAGGACTTCGACCCTACCCATCAGCTGAACATGACAAGCAAACCTCTAGATCTGATATAACTCCAAATGAAGTGAAGCTAACCGATCTTCTAGAACTCGACTACACTATTGAGGAGGCATGTATACCTATTTGTCAGGACCTACAGACAAGAATACAACTCCCCCAAGCAACGGGACATCATCATGAAACTATGTACTAAGTATAAATGACACTAGAATAATTAAGTATCATAATTTATTGAAAGTAATCAAGTAAGAAAGTAGAAAATGAGATGTGTGTACTGATCTGCTCCTGATCTAGCAAACAAACACTAATCAAACAACAAACACTACAACCTCCTCGAGCTTCCATAAGCTTTACAAGTACAATCAGCAACCAATATAACCTACTTGATCCCCCATAAGTTTGGCAGGTGCAATTCAATTTATATACCATATTGGTAGCACTCTAGCTGCTAGGATTCCTATTGCTGTTTCATTTTGTGACCTCTAGTTGTTGTTACTTCTCGTTTTTCATTGTTGTCTTTACTTTTCAAGCTCAGTCAGCCTATGATACCTACTGCGTACCTGTTGTTTTGGTACTCATACTACACTCTACATCTATTTTTTGATGTAGATCCAAGCACCCGTTATTAACATTGAGTTCGAGCCATCTACGAGGATCTTCAGAGTTAAGGGTGAGCTGGCGGCGTCCTAGTTTAGTCTATTTCCTTATGTGTGTATAGATTTTGGCTAGTCTTTTATTTACGAGACAAATCTATATTTTTGGTCCACTTTTAGGACATGTACTCTTTTTAGTAGCTTTGTACTTAAGACAATCAGGTCGTGAGATTGAATCTTTTATTTTGGTTTGTATATATCGTTGTTTTCATTTTCGTTGTTTTCCCTAAAATTGCTTCTTTTATATGTTGTTGAATGTTGTTTCTATCCAATATGCATGTTACTTGTGATTCTGGAATATGGTTTGACTTACCTACTGCTGGATTATGATAGATGTCATCATGACTCGAGGTTTCGAATTATGACATTTTATGATCATAGAGATGCTAAATGAGCTGAAAGGAAACCAAAGATTTTGAACAATAAACCATACACACTAGCTCAAATAGAGAAAAAAAACCTCAAATAAAGGGACAAGGGGTTGCTAAAAATTTGACTCAAGACTTAAACATGTTTGTCACGCCCAAACCTCTAGAGATGCAACTAGCACCTGGTACCATACTGACCCTGAGTTGATCCAGTTGGGCATGTATGTTATCACTAGTAAGGTTGGAAAACGCTTCTACAGATCTATACATCACACCTTAATAAATCGAGATATTATTAAACAAGTTTAAAGTATTTCAGGCACATAAGCATAATGTATTCAAAAGTTAATTTAAGCTAAATATAAGTCAATAAAAAGTGATTGTGTTAGAACCTATGGACTCTGAGAATGCTTGATACTTTTCGTCGATCAACAAAATTTTTTAGCTAGATTTGTTGTTTGCAGACTAATATTTAAGAGTTAAATTCTTTTTTATCAGAGACTCAAATATACAAAAAGGTTACTTAGATTACCTAAACTCAATTTCAAGTAGTGATAATAAATAAATAATCTCTTCTCAAAACATCACTTTAATTGGAAAAAACTTTAAAAACCACTATAAGCAGGGGTGTACAAAAGAGTGACATTTTTTTCACATGAAAAACCACTTCCATATCCTGAATTTTTGTTTTTATTTTCTGAGTTATCATTCATTTGAGAGGAAGATAGTGTACATAACCCTGATGGTCTTCAAATAACAATATAAACATTAGCTTAAGTATTAACCAATTAAGTCACAGAAAAAAACTTAATCCTATATAAACTACTCCTTAATTTGCACCACTTTTAATTTGTAATTTACTCTTACAAGGCACTAAGAGCAGCTCCAAGTGCAAAGACTTCATAATCATCAACACTAAAAACATTACTACTATTACACCCACAATAGTCCATGCAAGCACATGATGATGATGATCTTCTCAACTTTGAATCAATATTTTTCTTCACTTTTATTGTCTCTTTTATACTTTTAACCTTCATTGCTATTTGCACTGCCATAGGCTTCACATTTTCTTTATCCATAATTGCCCACTCCACAATCTCCATGTTTTTTGACTCAAAAACACTTCTCCATGGAATTTCAGCCCTTCCCAACATTTTTGAACCACCTAAAATTGGAAGAATAGTATTTTTTCTTGAGTGAAGTTCGAAAACGACACTTCCTTGCTTGAGACGATTAATGGAATCTTGAGTTCCGGAGCAATCCAATGAGAAAGACTCCTCCCAAAACAAGTGATCAGCAGATTTTGATGTGATTTCTTGGCTGTTTATTTGAACTCTTTGATCCTCTCCCGAAGAAAGATAGCATCTAACAAACAAATTCCCTCCTAACGATACGTTTCTTGCTCTTATGATTTGTATTTCACAACTAAGAGATGAATAATTCTCCATTGAAAATTAAAGTAGGATTAGTTTCATATGTTTGATGATGAGAATTATGTTTGAGTTGGTGGGCTATATATAGAGAGAGTTGGAAAATGGATATATATACATGCATGCACTAATTTTGAGAGTGGAAAAGGAAAGTGGTACAACTTTATTATGAGAAAGATCACCGGCCAATAAGAATTAGTGCTTATGTTGGAGAGCATTTAATATGGGCTTTTGGGATCATATTAAGAAGAAGATAACTAGCTCTTCAATTTCTTCAAAGGTTAAAAAAAGATGAATAGTAACGACCCTAGAATTTGAGGTTATATATGTTTCTGGATGTGGCAACTTGTGCGGGCGGTCTTAGTGCCCGTTTGGATTAACTTATTTTTAGATATTTTTTATTTTTAATTAGTATTTTTTGTTTGTTTTGAAGGTGTTTGGAAAAGTTTTAAAGTGCTTTTAAGCACCTACATTTAAAAATAAGTCAGAAATAAAAAATAGAGTACCATTTAGGGTGTGTTTGGTATGAAGGAAAATGTTTTCTTCGAAAACAAGTAGATTTTTGACTTATTTTATCATGTTTGGTTGGTGAGTAGAAAATATTTTTCGAAAAAGATTTTTAGTGTTTGATTTATGAATGAAAAATGTTTCTGAGAAATATCTTTTATTTTTACTAGAGTAAAAAATAATTTTTGAAATTGAAAATATTTTCTAAAAAGAAACTTAAATTTTTTTTGGGGGTTGGGGGAGCTGGCAGGGGGGAGGGGGGTCGAGGGTAGGGGTGAAAAAATAAAAATTTGAAGTTAAAAATATTTTTTGGGTGGTGGAGGGGCTGGTAGGGGGGTGGGTGGGGGGGTGGAGGGTAGGGGTGACAAAAATGAAATTTTGAAGTTGAAACTACTTTTTAAAAACAAACTCAAATCTTTTTTTTTTGGGGGGTGGGGGTGGGGAGTTCCAGGGTAGGGCTGAAAAAATGAAATATTGAAGTTGAAAATATTTTTTAAAAACAAACTAAATTTTTTTTTGAGGGGTGAGGGTAGGGGTGAAAAGATAAAAAATTGAAGTAGAAAATATTTTTTAAAAATAAACTTAATTTTTTTTTAAAGGGGGTGGGGGTGGTAGGGGGGCTGATGGGGGGCGAGGGTAGGGGTGGGGGATAAAAAAATAAAAATTGAAATTAGAAATATCTTTTAAAAATAACTTTTAATATTTCTTTTTGGGGGTGGTAAAGGGCTGGGAGTAGGGGTGAGGGTGAGGTAAAAAAATTGAAGTTAAAAATATTTTTTAAAAACAAGTTTTAAATTTTATTTTTTTGGAGGGGGGTGGTTGGGGGGCTGGTTTGAGGTTAGAAACAAAATAAATTGATTTTTTCAACAAAATATAAATTTATAATTTGAAGTTGGAAGAGAGTTTTGGAAAATGTTTCCTTAAGTTTTGAAGGGAAGTCATTTTCCTTAAATTTGAGGAAAATGAGTTGATTTGGAAAACATTTTCCAAAATATTTAATCCAACCAAACATGAGAAAATTGAAAAAAACCATTTTCCAAAAAATGTTTTCCTTCATACCAAACACATCCTTAGTTATGACTTTTAACTTCTAACTTATAAGTTGCTTTTTTATAAGTACTCTAATGGGTTCGATCTGGAACATCCCAATAGTAATATACAACTGCATTTCAAATTATGTATAAAAATAAGGCACTGCATATATGATTTTTTTTTTTCATTTGGGTGGAAAGATCTCAAAAATGTCACATTCAGAGAGAGAGTATATGATTGTGATATTTTTTTGTTTTTTAAAAATCATTTGATCAATATTGACTTACGAGTCTTTTTTAATTTTTTTTTATACCTTATCCTCTTAACTTTTACGATTTACCCCACTAAGCTATTTGTTTTTTTTTTTTTTTTTTTTTGAAATTTGAAGAAAGTTTATTTGTGGAGGACATAATAGGAAATGTATGGAGAGAAGATGATGAATTAAAAAGGAGGAGACAATAGAAGGAAGACAGGGCAAACATGAAAGGCAACTTAATTTAGACAAAACGGTAAGCTGTAGATTTCCAGTAAATATTACTAGAGTTACTTGCATGATTGTGTATTTTCCATTCCCAGTAATTATGCCCACTAATTTTCTATGTCTTCCTCATAGACATGTCTTCTCAGGGTGTGTTCGGTATGGACGATTTGTTTTTTAAAAAAAAATAAAAAATTAGTGTTTGATTGGTTAAAATTTTGAAAAATATTTTGATTAGGAAATAAGTTCGAGGAATATGACATTCCTATTGAAGTAGGGAAAAAAAGTTCCACAAATAACATATTCTACATTAGTTGTGTCATTTCCATCCTTCAACTTAGTTCATCTTAATCTCACCGTCATAGTTACCATCATATACTCTCTCTCTCCCACACCTTATTTCATACTCTATATTTATCTAAATTATTAGTGAACTTGTCCGCACTTCACGCGATTGAAAAAAAATTTCGTCCGTACCGAACACACCCTGAGAAGACATATCTATGAAAAAATTGCATAACTAATTTATCAATAAATTAGAGTATCTACATATAAAAAAAATAGAAACAAATATATAAGAAAAGTATCTATATGAAAATTAAAAGCAAAAATAAATTCAAACAATTGCATAATTTTTTGCATATTATAGCTTTCAAAGAAAAATCTATTATAAAATCAACGTTCACTATATATATATATATATATATATAAAGAAACAATTTCTCAATAAAATCAATGTTTATATCATAGAGAAAATTAAACAAACAATCTATCAATGAAGTAAACATTCATAGTGTAAAATATGTGTCTCGTAAGTCCTTTCACATGTAACTCTTATTTAAATGTTATTTCCTTTCTTTTTATTTAAATGATATTCATGGAATTTTGTTCATACTATTATCATAAAAAAATATGACTATTATTAGTATCATAAATTTAATAAAAGAAAAATAGTCTTTATTAATCAAGCACTTTTTTATTATTCAACCAAATTTCTACAACTCTTGGTATCACATATTAAAAAAGTGTGTGTGTGAGAGAGAGATTAGACTACTTCAATTTAATATATTTTTTATTCCTCATGAAGGAAATAAAAGATTGGAGTGATAAATTTAGACTTTTCAATTGTGTAATAATGAATATGAATAAGTGGAGTAGTAAATTTTGAAACATTTAATTTTTTATAATAAAGAATAGAAATGAATGACGGAGTAGTAATTGAATTTATTTTTGTATAATAATAATAATAAAAATAAAATTAATAGAAATATAGTGTAAATTGTTTAAAAGGAAAGAAAAAAATAAATAGGATCATTAATCAGAGAGAGGTGTCGCATCACTTTTTTTAATATTTAGCTTTATATAAAATAAAAAGGATAATCAAATAAAAAGTCTTAAAAGGAGGAAAAAGATAAATATAATTCTTAATCAAAGAGACATGTCAAGAGATACCACATCACCTCTTCTATATCTAACTTTACTTGATTTACACTATATTAAATAAAATCTATACAAAACAAATGAAAAAAGAATACACAAAATTAGAGCTGTAGTAAAAATGATAATCAAATAGTAAGTAACAAAGAAGGAAAAAGATAATTTTGATTCTTAATCAAAGAGACATCCCAATACATGTCATATCACCTCTTCTATATCTAATTTACTTGATTTACTCTATATTAAAGTTTATGGAGTACTCATTCTTAATCGAAAACACATTCCAATAGGATTAAAGTACTCTTTCACTCTTCACTTTTACGTATTCATAATAGGATTAAAGTACTCTTTCCCAAAATGACATTTCTATTGAAATAGGGGAAAAAAAGTTCCACAAATAATATATTCTATATTAGTTGTGTCTTTTTCATCCTTCAACACAGCTCATCTTAATCGCACCTTCATAGTTAACATCCTATACTCTCTCTCCCACACCTTATTTCATACTCTAATATTTATCTAGATTATTAGTGAACTTGTCCACACCTCGCATGATTGACAAAAAATCATACATACCGAACAAACCGTGAAAAGACATATCTATGAAAAAATTGCATAACTTGAAAGATTGGGGGAAAAGGGTGCAAAGATAGAAACATTGGGAAAAAAGGATGCAAAGATAAAATAGAAAATGGATTTCGCAAAGAAAAAATATGCAGATGAAGAGAAGACTAAAATTTGAGAAAAAGAAGATATGCGAAAGAAAAAGTGTGACAACAAGAAAAGCTACATACAAAAACATTTGTCAAAAGAAAATGGTGTCCTCCCATAACTATTATTAATCATGCGTCAATCACTATAAAATTTTTCATTATTTATCATAAAAGAAGAATAAAATAGTAAAGGACATCATCTTTAGTAGCCATAAACATAAACCTAGGGTGTACAAAACCGAACCAAACCGCAAATCGAATCAAATCGGGAAAAAAACTCGACTAGTGGTTTGGTATTGGAAAAAAAAAAAACCCGACTATATTTGGGTTGGTTTGGTTTTAACTAAAAAAAATCAACCCGAGATCAAACCAATTCGACATTATATATGTAATTTTAAAATTTTATTTTATAAATAAAAATTTTTACTTTGATATAATTTTAAAATATTTCTTATACTATTTCATAGTTTTTATCTTTTAATATATTATTTCAAGTTTAAAACTTAGAATTCGGAATGGTCCAATAAAGATTATAGTTCATAGATGTGATAATTATAATAAAACTTAAATCAAAATCAAATTAATACTAATGCAAAAGGAAAATCAATTCAACACTAAGAGTAATAATAATATTGAATATTTGTTCTTTAGTTTTACGTTGTTTAGACAATTAAAGTACATAATCTAATTTTAATTTTCCTTAAATATTTAGTAATGTAACTAATACTTATTAAACTTATTTTAGCATGATTTAGTACTTTTAAATTATGATCATTTTCATTATGACTTTGCAATATTTATTTTATATGATGATTTCATTATTATTTTTTATTGAATATTTTTGTATAATCAGTACT